ATGCAAATGTGTGTCACTGACAACAAAAATGGCATCTTCTCTGGCTGAGTTCTTCATGTTTGTGTGTTTAGGAGCTTTCTGTGCCGCTGATGAGCATTGTTAGCCATCATTAACCATCTTATCCTCACAGCACCTCAGCCAGCTTGGCTTCCTCCTGACATTACTCAAATCACTGTTAAATAAGGGAGTGGGACCAACACGATCAGGATACTAATGCAACAAGAAGTGAGAAAATTGCACACGTTCCTGCAGAGTTAATGCATCTAAGCCTCTGGGTGTTGTCTTTGCTCCGTTACTTTGATCCTCTCTCCTCTTTTCTGTCATCTTCTCCTCTCTCAGTTTCTTCTGTTCTCTCCTCCTCCAACAGCTGACTGTGGAGGGCCATGCCGCGGCTCGAAGAGGTTGCTTCAGGCTATTGATCTAAATTATACTCTCTGCAAACTTCTGAGAGTCACAGAGAGGGAGGTGGTGGTGGGCAGCTGTGAGAAAGAAGACAAATTCAGGAAGCATGGAGCTGAAGATGGCAAATAACTGCATCTGAAGAAAGTTTTAAAAGAAGTTTATAAAAGCTGTCCAGCGTGGGCATCGCGGGTCATCACAAAACAGCAACTATGATGAATGAACTTGGGAGAGCAAGAAGAAAGCCGGCAGTGAATGAGAGCTATCACTGTTTGGTTTATTTGCTTTTCAGTGTCAGCTGTCTTACCTAAATATGGATGTTCAAACGAGGCTTTGCTCATTTACAGTCTGCCCTTCTTTTTTCTGAATCCTGCTCAGGGTGGTGGGAGGGAGCTGGATCAGTCAGAAATGGGAAACAACTGAGACGGACTGCCTGCCCACCACAGGACTGGAGGAGGAGAACATGCACAAACATCTAACTAGGAAGCTTCTTGATGTAAGAAGTTGCTGCAAACTAAATAAATAATTAAAAAAAATACTTTTGTTCTTTCTTTCAAAGATGAAACATCATTTTAATGATTGTTTCTGGTTGTATTATATTATATTCCAGCCACTCTGAGTTTTTCATGCAGGCTGAACATGAAAATAGTCTCCTACACCTATCTCCTGCATTAACTTCTGATAGAAAATAGACAGTGAGGCTCTAGGATTAGAAAACCCTCACAGATCTATGTCACACCGTCACTTAACATTCATGGACTCACCCATCTCGACTCACGACGGGGATGGCTGTTGTTGGTTTAGCCTCCAGAAAACAGCAGAGAACGTCTCGACTAGTAGAAGCTAACTGTTACCATTAGCAAGTCCACCACACAGCAGAACTCCTTCACGCTTTTGATATTTGTGGAGAAAAAAATGTCAATGTTGCAAAGTAAACAAAATCATTGGTAGAGTCAAGTTGTTAGCCAATCAGAGGAGAGATGTCCAAGTATCTCAGGAAATAAGAGTCCAAATCTTGTCTGAAGCTCAGCTCTGAGATGGCTCACTTCTAGTTCCTGAAGCAGGTAGACCAGATTGTTGTTGTGGTTTTTAGTTGTTTACTCGTTTTAGAAAAGAGTCACTTTGAGTTGAGCCCTTTTGTTAAGGTCAGAGCCCTTTAAGTTAAAGGCCTTAATTTTCAGGCCTTTAATTTAGCCTATTTTAGATTTGAGCTTTAAGTTTTTGTTAGGAACTAGTTCCTCTTATTTTACCATTTTTGATGCCCTTAAGTTAACCAGAGCTGAACATTTCTGTAATATAGATTCCTCTCTTAGTTTTGACCCCTGTGTTTGTAATTTAAGTTTTGTAGAAGAAAGATAAGTCCAGTTAAGACATTTGTGAAAACTTTTTGGTTGTGTTAACCCGGTGATGCTCCAAACCCATACAGTTAGCTAACTCAAGTCATTTTAACATCACAGAAGAGGCTAAATATTGGACATCCCTCTCTGAACATCCTAGACTCCAGAGGGGAATGTAACACGGGCAAGCAATAATCCTTTTTATTCTAAGTATCTATCTAGGACTAAAGTTCATTAAGTGTATTAGAAGAGAGAAAAAGATAGAGAATGTGTGTGATAGGAATATTGTGCAAAAACATTAAATCTAAGATATGAAGAAAGAAAAGAAGTGAAACTTTTAACAATGGCAGACATTAAAGCCAGATGTGGTCATGTGACATGTTTAACCTCATTAACACACGTTTCCTCTAGGGATGTAAGAAAATGTCAATTATGGCAATATACCGTGATATTTTCCCCAGCGACATTATATCGATATTCAAAAGCTGTTGTAGCGTTATTAAGATCTTATTGTCTGCCCTTAACAGCTGCCCCTTCACACAATAACATCGCCAAGGTCGGATGCTGGTTTCAGTATGTTTACATTCCAGGAGAAGAGACAGAAGAAGAGAAGAAGAACGCTTTCCACTAATTAATCAAAGTACTTTATTTGTGATAAAGCTAATCAAAGCATATGTTGATCATTAATAATCAGGTGAATGATCTGTGAAATAAAGATGTCATGTGTTATGTGTTTAATGAATAAACAGGACGGCACCAGACAGACTGATCTACATTGACATGAAACGCATGACACATTGTTCTCAACCAATCAGAACTTTCGTCTGCCGTAGGTCAGAATCTGGGTTGTTTAATGAAGTTGTCCAATCCGGTTTACTAAGATTTGTAAACAACTAGGGGATATAAAACAAGGCAACGCCATTTTAAACTCAGTTCCATTTTAACCTCAGCTCTGTTCGATCTGAGCTCCAAAGGAGTTACATCATACTCTCAACGTAGTTTTCAACCAGCTCTCGATCCATCACCGCAAAAGAGAAGTACAGCCTGGCCAGATGTACTTTCTACTTTAAGCTGAGAACTGTTAAGCTGGAGATTTCCGTCGTTTGAACAACAAGACGACGTTCCTTCAAAATAAGAGTGAACTCGCTGACGCCTGCCGCTGATACCGGGAGTCGACCCACAGACGGGCTTTGTAGTGCTGCGACCGCTGTTTCACCAGCTCCAGCACATCCGAAGGTCCGAGGACCTGGCATTTCCTGATCTAACACGGGAGACTCCACAGGGTACGTAGTTGCGGCAAAATGGCGCTCATGTCATCAGCTTCTAAAGCCTCGTGGTGCCTAGTCATAACAACCAGATTCGCTACGTCAGCCTAGAGATTCTGAAACACACACACACACACACCAACACGAAACATCCAAATCCATATGCATCCATCACGGAGTTAGTCCTGGTAGATTGTAAGAATTTATAATTATAGAAATTAAAGATTCTTAAACGATCCCAACTCTCTCTTTTCTTGTCTCTCAGTCAATACAGAGTGTTTAAGTAAACTCCCTGATGATAAAAACAACCACTTCTGATTATAATATTTAGATCTAATTACAGTGTATAAATATACAAACTACAGATCACTACACTGTGTATCGAAAATATCGATATCGCAAAATATCGTGATATTTTTTCTTGCAGAAATGTATCGATATTCAAAAGTCGCGTATCTAATTTTTGGAAGAATTTACATGGAAACATTTGTGTATTTTCTTTTCTTGTGGTGCAATTCAAACGCCGACCATTAGTTGGCAGCAGTGTGTAATGGGTTTTGTTTCCACCACTGAAATGTAAATCCCTCTGTTATGGTTAAACATGTTAAGTATCAGTTTGGACTGTTTACTGAATTTTCCTATAATTAATTTAGTCTAAAAAATCGCCAATATCTTCTGACTGAATGTATCGCAACATTTTGTGATATATTGTATCGTCTCCCATGTATCATAATGCATATTGTATTGCCAGAATTTCACCAATACACATCCTTAGTTTCCTCTAACGTTCCCCAGTCGGAGCAGACAGAGGCCTATGGATCGTGTTGTGTTGCACCACTGTGCTAGCCTGGCAAGCCAGACTAAATAAATGTATTATTTAGTCTGGCCACGCTCCATTGACGGCTCTCGGTTGTGGGGCGGGTTCTACCGTTGTCTTTCAAATAATCTCCGCATTCCACTGGACAATGAATGTGACATACTCTTGTTTCACTCTGTTGCATCATCCCACCCACCAGGCATATAGAGTGCCCTGATTGGCCCACAAAGCGGATAAAGCTCTGTGATTTGTTCACTTAGCAGATAGAGCACTATGATTGGCCCACCATTATGGACCAATCACAGCTCTTTATGTGTTTGAAACCCCTCTAGAGAGCTGTGATTGGCTAGCCAGAATGCTGTTAGGGGCTGCAGAGGTTCCAGTGGAGCATTCCTAGATCAAACTTTGCAAAGCAAGAATTTGGTCTCGTTCACTAGGCTACCACTGTACAATATGAGAAAATGAGATTAATCAGAGACAGTAAAAAGGAATCGGGAAAATTATGAGAAAGTAAAAATGAATCAATAAAATTCTTTCTCTTTGCTTCCTCATAGTGAATAAACAGCACTGCATTCAACCGTAACTCTGTTCCTTCTGTGTTAAAATGAACAAATTCCCCAAATCACTTTAAAATCCGACATGTTTCCGCCGAGGTGCTGCTTGAGGCACATGAACAAGCGAGCTTACTGGCAAAAACAGGAGAAAAAAAAAGGCCATCATTCTCTGGAGTTTCCTCAAAATTGGATCAGTGATATCTTACAAAGTTACGTCTGACAAACAGCACACAAGCAGATGGATATCACCCGGCTTGAAGATTGCTGCTTCTTCTTTAAGGAACAAAATGTGCCCGGTATTAAAATCCGTCTGTGGTTATGAGCGGGGGAAACCCTGGAGCCCGGGCCGATGCATAATTACGGTGTAAATTTTAGCTGACATTTACTCAGTTATGAACAAAGAACGAATGACTGAACACACAGATCTTGCCGTGGAAACCGACAGAGGATTTTAAAAGAGCTACAACTCAAACATTCAAAGTTTTATTCAGCCTGCACCACAGGTGTTCACCCACTGCCAACAGGAAATCACTGCTGATGCCTGTTGCCCTTCCAAGACTATATGACCTCCATTAAAGTGAACCTCTAGCCAAGCGTTGACAGCTTTACAGGAAGGTTATTGCCATACCTTGTTGGTGGTAGAGCAGCAGCTTCCCTTTATCCAGCACCATATTTAGGCTGTGGTCTCCTTGTCCCTTTGCGTGCAGCAGCGCACCTGAGTTCTTCATGGTTTTAAACTTCAGAGAAATAATCTCTATCGATGCCCAGCTTGCCCTCACGCTCGGTCTGTAGACAAAGCTGCTGCTGCCATCAAAGCTCGCAACATCAGAAGCTACAGAAGAGAACAAAATATCACAAAGAGTTCACTCTTTTAGTTTCATTTCGGTCAGGCTTTATTGTTAAATTCAGTTTTAGAGCAAGCTTCAAATGTGATGTCAGGAAATGCTTTGTAGCAGGAGTGAGCACCACCTCACCCCTGCCACGTGGACCTCAAAGGATAAACCATCAAACCTGCTCAATGGTCAACTTTCCTTGTGGGGTCACCCATTAGGACAGTGGGAGGGTTAGAGGATTGGATCTAACCCATCCTTTAAACTGCTCCTCTGGACATTTCTCACCTCACTCTACACAACACCCTCTGTGCACAAGATGCACATTTTTGGAGAAGCAGAGGTGTGCTGTCAGCCAAATCTCTGTGGGGCATTCCATTTTCCAGCATGAGGAATCGGAGGAGTGTCGTGAGAGCTTGCAAATGCAGTGAAATGTGTTATTGGCAGCCTGGACTATTTTGGAGCTCAAAGGGACCTAGAAGTCCAGCCACATAATCAATAGAGGGGGTTGTGGAAAAATGAGGAGCAAAAAGAGTGTCCAACCGATGCCCATTGTACCTACATGTGTGTTGGGGCTGACAAACAAGGAAGTGAGTGATGGACCGATGTTCAAGCGTGTGTTGTGGACGAACGTGGAAGACGACAAGCCCTGTCTGGGCATTCCCAGAACTAGGACTGGGCGGTATATCGATATTTTCAAAATATCAGTATAATTTTTAAACAAGATATAAGATGACTTTATATCTTTATATCGATATAACTGGCCAAACTGCTATGCTAGCGATTAGCTGCTATGCTAGCTACATGTTTCTCCGTCTCTAAGCGGTTATTACGTGTGTTCTCACAAGTTTGCTCAATCTGAGAGCCTCTGGGTAAATGTGCTGCACTAAACTTAGCATTTAGCGTTTTGGTTTATAATTATTTGGGGATGTTCACAACCAGGGGCGGTGTTAGGCCCGGCTACTTGGGCTCAAGCCCCGAAAGTTTTATGAAAAGACTAGTACGTGTTACGTGTGTGTGTGTGCGCGTGCGCGCATGTGTTAAGCCCCGGATCTTCTTCAGTCCTAAATCCGCCCCTGTTCACAACGCCAACAAAGTTCTGTTTTCCATCCTGCTCGTGTGGAGAGCCAAACCCCTCCCTCCCCTGTGTAGTGAGGAAACATCTACGGATAGCCAGAGTGGCCAAATGACCTCAAACATATTGTAAGGGTTTGAATAGTAAATTATAGGGTAAACGTTTTATCTTGAAGGCGAGCTCAACGGATGAGAAATGTTGTTCCAGTTCCGTTTTTTCCGCTCTAGTTTGGTATGCTAGTAACTACTCCGTTACGAGCAATTCTGTAGAAAGTGAAGAGTTTGTAAGGCGTGGGTTACGGCGACAGTAGCACGAAAGCAATACTCATAAAAGTGCAACCAGAGAGTCTGAGTCATTACAGTATCGCTGAGTTAACTTGTAAATATTTTACAGGAGGAAAAATATCGAGATATATATCGTATATCGGAATTCAGCAAAAAAATATCAAGATTTAAGTCTTGGTCCATATCGCCCAGCCCTAGCCAGAACCTTCTTGAATATGAGTGGTGCTCCAACTTGCTATTGTCCTCGGGTTCAATGAAGATGTTAGCAGTACCTCAGGCTAGCTTGTGCTAGCATTAGCAATAGCTCAGCCTAGTATTGTCCTGTGGCTAGCATCACTACAACCAATGTATATATTTCCGATGTAGTGGGTTGGGATATGCAAACGTGTGTGTGTGTGTGTGTGTGTGTGTGTGTGTGTGTGTGTGTGTGTGTGTGTGTGTGTGTGTGTGTGTGTGTGTGTGTGTGTGTGTGTGTGTGGGTGTGTGGGTGTGTGGGTGTGTGTGTAAGCTTAAGACGTGTTAAACCAGCTTTTTTCAGAAAGGACAGTTTCTCTGTGTCATTTTGACAAGACTAATTTACATAGAAAAGCCGGAGAGGGCACAGGCTTTTTGGTACGCTAAATCAAACACTACAACAAAATAAGGTTAATTTTATTTTAAATTTTAGGAGACATTTAAATCTGGAAACTTACACATTTCAAAATAACACCCCAGTCTCATCAACTCCCACTCCTCTCTGTTGGACAATCAGCGACTACCAACATTCATTTATTACAGTTTATCATGATCTGAGGCATAAAAATCTTTGCTAAACCTTTTTTCTATATCAATTTGAGCTCTAAATGTAATACAACAAACTAATTAGTGTCATTAACATCATACCTTTTTAAAGGGATGCTGTATTATTATAGTTCTGTAAAATATGGATTACCGCGGACGCTGACAGTCGAGGAGCATGTTCTGAATCTTTATTGTGACACAATGATTTATGCGGAGAAGAGGCAACTGTTTGTTCAGCCTCAAAAATTAACAAACTGAGAGCAGACTTACTGTATCTGCAGCCGTATATTTCCAATCTGAGTCCAATCCTCCCACTGGGGTTCCAGTCCAGCGGGATCAAGCGAAGATAACGAGCAATCACCGGCTGTTCCAGCTTGTGTTGGACCACAGTGTCAGCGTTGCTGTTTCCCGGAAAAGCCTGAAACAGCAAAATTGCTTGTTAATTGGTTTTGATCTTTACGAGCAATGTTAAGACATCTGAACCAAAAAACCCTTTATGGTATGTTGAGAATGCTGGAGACAACAACAAAACACTGTGAGGATATTATAATTTTCTTGCTTACTGGAAAAACTGAATCACTTGTTGACCAAATGCATAATTTGCAGGTAAAACTACTGAAAACGTCAGATTAAAAGTTCTCATTAGTTTATCGTCAGCGTTGAGAAAACGTCTCCTTATCCCCATCAGTCCTGATGCCTGTCATTCTGAAACTTTGTGCTAACAGAGCTCATTGATCCCATCTGCTGATGACGTCTCTCCTTTTACCCTCATCTCTGTTCTCGGATCAATAACCCTGGATTCTATTCTGTGTCCGTACCAAGCTTCTTCTAAAAGACCGATGGCTTCCATTTTCCCAATCAGCTGCCTGTGGAAATCCAGTGAAGCCCACTGACCGACAGGTGCTCACAGGAAGACACCTGCATCTCTGTACGGAGCAACAAACTCCAGAAAAACAAGTCGTGTGCATTTATTTAAATACACATCCTTTGCTCATGCCTGTCCTACTTACTGGCATTGTTTGCATGTGTGTGTGTGTGTGTGTGTGTATGTGTGTGTGTGCTGATGAGGCTTTGTGAGCAAGATTGGCTTTCCTGGCACTGCATAATTGTGATCTCAGTGCCGTCTTCAGTGCTTTGAAGGACTGATCCGGCTGGGCAGCGAGGCGTTAAGCTCAACAAATGGCTCTCTTTCCCGCTGAGGATGCTGAGGAGAGCGGCATCTCATTTACTCGCTGGAGGACCTTTTGAAGTATAAGCAGTCTCTGACAAGCCTTCAGTCAAAAAGGGAAGTGAGTGGAGAATGAAGGCGTGAGAACAAGCTATAGCTTAGCAATAAAAGATAAAATATGTAGTTCAAAAGCCCACAAAAGCAGAAGCAGCAACAAAGGTTTCAGCAGCACAAGCAACACTTTATACACTGGTATAAAAAATGGATGCAGTGTCTGGAGTGGAGTATTTTCTAGATCTTAAAGCTAAAATGTACATTCTATTAATATGATTAGCTGGAAAAAAGAGAATCTTTTGTTTCTCAGTTTCCTTTGAAGAGGATGGATGGATTTATCTGCTTGTGGAAACGTATGCCTTATTCACCTACATGTTAACTTTCAATCCTTTTGCTGAGTAGCTAGTTCTGACTTTACAGAAGCAGAGAATAGCATCTGTGCAGCTCACATTAGGTCAGAAAGCAATGCTTTTGTGTTTGACTTAATAACTGGATCACTCAGATTTTCCCAAATAAGGAAAACCAGTAAAGCGTGTCGGCTCTGATGTGGGCCATGACACAAACGAAAGTCTATCAGCGGTGCTACAGTAGGTTCAATGAAACATGTAAAAGGATTCCCACACAGTTTAATGGCTGTTTTATTATTATTATTATTATTTGTGTCAATATTTTTGATTTAAAACACTGATTTTTACAAATCCCCTATTCCCAATTCAGAAAAGGGTAGGAATGCCTTCTCCGGGTCGGGGACAAAGTTATGCCCCAAGTGGAGGAGTTTAAGGGGCGACGGTGGCACAGGAGTTAAGTGCTCGCCCCATAATCAGGCGGTTGCAGGTTCGAGCCCCGCTCAGTCTGTCGCTGTCGTTGTGTCCTTGGGCAAGACACTTAACCCACGTTGCCTGCTGGTGGTGGTCGGAGGGACCGGTGGCGCCAGTGCTCGGCAGCCTCGCCTCGGTCAGTGCGCCCCAGGGCAGCTGTAGCTACATCGTAGCTCATCCCCACCTGTGTGTGTGAATGGGTGAATGACTGATTGTGTTGTAAAGCTCCTTGGGGGGTTCCATGACTCTAGACGGCGCTATATCAAATACAGGCCATTTACCATTTACCAACTATCTCAGGTGCTTGTTCACGAGTGAGGGAAAACTGAAGCGTGAGATCGATAGGCGGATTGGTGCTGCATCTGCAGTGATGCAGGCGTTGTACCGGTCTGTCTTGGTGAAGAGAGAGCTGATCCAGAAGACGAAGCTCTCGATTTACCGGTCGATCTGCATTTCTACCCTCACCTATGGTCATGAGCTTTGGGTCGTGACCGAAGGAACGAGATCGCGGATACAAACGCCCAAAATGAGTTTTCTCTGAAGAGTGGCTGGGCTGTCCCTTAGAAATAAAGTGAGAAGCTCAGTCATCCGGGAGGGGCTCGGAGTAGATTTACTGCTCCTCCACATCGAGAGGAGCCATTTGAGGTGGCTCGGGCATCTGGTCAGGATGCCTCCTGGACGCCTCCCGGGCACGTCCAACCGGGAGGAGACCTAAAGGTAGACCCAGGACACGGTGGAGGGACTATGTCTCTCACCTGGCCAGGGAACGCCTTGGGATTTCCCCAGAGGAGCTGGCCCAAGTGGCTAGGGAGAGGGAAGTCTGGGCCTCTCACCTTAGGCTACTGCCCCCACGGCTCTTGCTATTGTTTCAGGAAGTATAAGTTAGCGGGAGCTGAAGATGAGCATGAAGCAGCCACAACACTCTCTACACGCCCCATTTCTCTGTTTTCTCCTTTACGTTTGTAATTTAGGCACCTCTCTGACTCTCTCATCAGGGCTGACTCACAGACTGCACTCGACCGATGATGGACACCTTTACCACTGCAGGAATCAAAGCAGGGTCATTTTGCGCAGCAGGTAGTCTTTCTAACAACACCACCACCCTGCTCTCAGCAGAAGTTAAACTGTCTGACAGCATCACCGTACAGTCAGCTGACAACTGCAGCCTTCAGTCTATTGTTAATGCAAAGTAAAAGGGTCTCGTTTAACGGGCTTTGTAGCAGCAGGCAGCAGCTGTCCTTCTCAGATTAATGGTAAATGTCTAATGGAACTGTTCCCCAACTCAAATATGACATTATCTGCCTTTAATTCATGTGAATCCTCATGGTGTGAACTGGCCAGATTGTCTTCTTAGGATCATAATGTTGAACAACATTTTTGTGCCACTGAGAAGGAATAAGAAGGAGCAAGTGTTGAGATTAAAGCTGAAATGTCAAGATTTTTATAAGTATTTATACAATGAAGTCACAATGCTGCAAAAAAAAGTCTACATAATATTTTCTGAATGATGTTTAGAGCTTTTTTAAAGAATAGCCCAAAGAAGTGAACCCATTTATCCCCATCAACCAAGCAGTAGTTGTCTAATTTTTGAGGTCATGGGTGTGTTTTTACTAGCTCCTGGCAGAGAATGCTGTTGTTGTGCTCTTGGGCAAGACACTTATCCCTCCCTGCCTGGCCTGCCAGACTCCTCCTCTGTTTAATTCTGCACAGAGAAAGGATCTGGGAACTCTCCTATTCAAATAACCCCACCCCATGAGAATCCTAACCAAGGCAATCAGCGCTGAGTAGCGTATGTCACACACCATAACGCCGAGTTTGTCTAACATGGCGACTGAAGCAGAGTTCGCTGTGGCTCTTTCCTCTGTTCTAAATGACTTGGACACGTATTTAAAATAACAACAAGTAGAAGCATTAAAAGCCATTCTTCTAAAGAAAGATGTTTGCGCTGTCGCCAGACGCCATTTTTGACTACAGCTTCTTCCGGCTCTTGGAGAGTGCAGATGCTTTTTTCTCCTCTCCCTCCCTCCTCATCCCAAGGCTCTTTGTCTGTCTTTGGGTGCACTGTGCTTTCTGCATTTTTTCTGGAAACTGGAAATTATTCAACTGGACCTGGTCAGTTGGTCTCTCAACGCGACTGACAACATTTTTTCAACGATAAGAACGGGAAGGGGCTCCCGGTTGCCCCTCTGGGACAGAGCCAGCTGGGTGTATCATGGACTCCTGGAAACAGTGGAACCTGATCTGCCTCTCTCAACTGTCTGTAGAGGATTCTGAAGACATCTGGATATTCGTGGTGTTGGTGTCAGGTTTCGTGCTGTTTGGCCTTGGAGGCTTCCTGGTTTACCGGAAAATTAATAAGCTGTTGAGGAATATTGGCTCAATCCCGGAGCTCAGGGATGGATTACACCGAGCTGTGAACGCACAAACTCATATAATTGTCGAGATGAGTCGTAAGCTTGGAACTTTGGCTGAGATTCAGACTCTGGCACAGAAGGTTGATGCCATCAAGGATAGAGGTGACGGATCAGCACAGATTGGGATAGATTAATCTACGCCATTATTGAATTTAGAGGGGCTGAGGACCAACAGAACTTTAAGACAGAGAGGAAATGATCTCTGTCTGGCTCCAAAACAAGTTCCTATCTGAATCCGGTGCCCTTGAGCCTGTGAGGCTGAAGAGATTACTCCCCCTCAGAAGAAATGTGGAATGCTGCCATCGTCATTGCATCTCTGTCTCCCTATCCCAGCCTGGGCGGGACTGCGACCGGTGAAGGCCGTTGAATCATTTCCAGGAGTCACTGTGCTCTCTAACCCAAATACCTCCTTACCCTGTCCAAACGGAGGTGACGAGCGCTGCTTATTGCAGCTGCATGCACTGATGTGTGGAGAGTCCCCAACCCTACCTCCCCACCTAGTGGACACGTATGTTGTGTGATGTCTGAAGTCTGTTGCATTTCTGTCTGAGGTGTTTTTGCATAGCAAAGCTGCCCTCCCTGTGGAGGGTAACTCTGAAGTACCTTTTTATCCTCCACCTGACCTAATCCTCATGTTTTATAAGGTAGAATCATGAAGATTAACAAAGCCCCCAAACTTTTGCATCCCACTGTATAGTTTTCCAGCCACTGCAGCATCGTTATGGCTGCTCTCGTGGTCTGCCTGTATCTGTTTTGTCTATATGTGTGTGTGTGTAACCTTGGTCAGGCTGTTCTGCGGAGTCAAGTTCCTATGCTCTGGTTCGCTGGAGCGCTGGCAATAAAATTCTTTCTGATTCTGATTCTGATCAACGGGAACTCTCAAGTCTCAAAACATCAGTGAAATTATCTCGAAACCCAAAATTCAATCAGAAAAAAAGAAAATAAGAAGCTCAAATATTTCAGTCTACCATTTGTGAATCTTAAAATTAATATTCGTTAAAAGTTACCCCTAAGCTGTCCTCCTGTCGGTACTGTCTCCAGTTGTGCCCTGTGTCGCTGAACATCAGCAGGTATGTCGTCAGCCAATCAGAGCTGCCATAGCGTCCCTGTGTTGCGACTGCAGTGACCTGGGTTCGTCTCTGCAGATCCACTTCCAGCCACTGGTATCTGTCTGACAGCAGAGGAGACCAACCGCCAGCTCCTGCACAACACAAGGAATAAAGAACATGTTTGTTTTCCCAAACCCCTTTCAACCGTAACAACCCAGTCTTGATGCTTATGTGACATTTAACACGCAACTGGCATCTTTTTATTCTGACAATCCACCAAAACAGCTTCTTGTGACACAATACTTACAGCCTTCTATTTATCCAGAAGCGTCCGATCTGCTTACAACAAAAAATAATAAATACATTTTGTTTATTCGTGTTTCTGCACTGATGTGATTGAAATCACTGAGCAGAAACATTTGTCTCTTCCTCGGTGATTTTCAGAGCGCAAATGGGCCCCTCAGGGATAAAATGCTTCATTTTAGCTCTGCCAACAGCTGCTGCAAAAGCTGGAGAGGACACCCAGTTATGTATGAGATTAGTACACACCATTTTCATATTGTAGTTTGGTGAAAAATCCCATCATATCTGCAGGGTGTCTGACACTGCTGTCATTGGAAACGAGCTAAAATATGTAAAAACATGAAAGATTTAAGACTGCATGGTGGAGAGGTGGTTGGAACTGTAGCTTCACAGCAAGATGATCAGTTCAAAGCATGCTAACCACATGTTGTCCCCTCGATTCTCCTCCAGCCCCCCAAATATCAGCATGTTTGGTTTTTAGATTTTATAAACTGACTTTAGGTGTGGTGGTTGTGCACCACTGCATTGGACCTGGTGACCTTCAACTTTTGTAATCAACCACTAGAGAGGCTCCATCCCTGTGACCCTGAAAGGGACTATGTACATTTCAATTAGTTCAATATACATTTTTAGGATGTTATTGGAGCATTTGTTCAGCAGTCATACAGCTTCAATATATGTTTTAGGGATACTCGATATTCGGCTTTTTTTACCGACATCGGCTGACTCTTTATTTCTGATACCAATATAAAGCAAGCCGTGTCCCCCTTCATAAAAAATTAAGACTAAAACATTTTAGGTTACTGACATCACATATCTCCTATAATAAATCTTAATTTTTTTAACAATTTTTTGTGCAAAAAGAAAACTAAGTTAGTAATATTTAATTTGTCTCCGCAGCAGCTGAAACTCTTTCTCCCTAAGCGTGATGCTAAGACGTGTGTATTAGTCAGTGATGTATTCTTACTTGTTCTGAATGTTGAAGCTATGGTGATAAAACATCTTTAAAGATCTTCAGATAAGACAAGCAAACCTTGGGCAAAGACAGGACTACACAGGGCAAATTTCTATGTATTTAAATAAATACTATATATATTTGTTTATATATTTATAATGCATAAAGAGGGTGAGAGATATCCTTCACAACCATGGTTGCCTTCCTCAACTATGCGCGGTTCTGCACTTCAGACGGGGTTTGAGGTGATCCAGTTATTTTTGAAGCCTGGTTAATTATACGCCAGAATTTTGTTCTATGTTTGACGGTCAGGAAGCAAATATTAATGGTCGACCAATAATATCGGACATCCCTAATATTTTTAAACGTATTTTCAAGCAATGTCAATGATGTGTTTTGCAAACTGAAATAGTTTATTTGTTAAAATGTATTTTTCACTCCCATTTATTTCATAACAAATTCAGAAAGCCATTTTTGAAAACCACAAATAGCATAATCATTTTTAAATAGCATCGCTATATTTCTAGTTTGACTTTTTAAAATGTATTTATGCAATAAAATAAAAACTGATTAACAAAAACTGTCATTTTAAAAATATATTAGACATGTGAGAGTAAACTAAAACATTCTTGTTTTCAGATTTAATGTTTTTGGGTGTTTATTGATGCCCATTTTGTCTGCCTTAACAGCTGCCCCTTCACACAGTACCATCGCCAAGGTCGGACGCTTGGTTCAGTATGTTTACATTCCAGGAGAAGAGACAGAAGAACAGAAGATGATCGCTTTTCATGGATTAATCAAAGTACCTTATTTGTGATAAGCTAATCAAAGCATTTGTTGATCATTAATAATCAGGTGAATGATCTGTGAAATAAAGATGTCATGAGTTATGTGTTTAAATGAATAAACAGGGCTGCACCAGTCACACTGATATGCATTACCATGGAAAGGCATGACACATTGTTTTCAACCAATCAGAACTTTCGTCTGTGATAGGGCAGAATCTGGTTTGTTTATGAAAGTAGTCCAATCCGGTTTACTAAGATTCTCAAACAACTGGGAGATATAAAAAGAAGGCAACGCCATTTTAAGTCAGTTCCACGTTACGTTCCACTTTCAGCAGTTACATGTTGAACTCAGCTCCAGGAAATCCAAGTTCCTAAGGATTTACATCGTCATCATTAAGAAATTCAGACTGGCCAGCTGGACTTCCTACTTTGAGCTGAAATCTGTCAAGCTGGAGATTTTCCGTCGTTTTTACCAACGAGACAACGTTCTTTCAAAATAAGAGTGAACTTGCTGACGCTTGCCGACTATGACCGGAGTTATCCCCAGACGGGCGTTGTGTGCTGCAACCGCTGTTTCAACCAGCTCCAGTACCCATGAAGGTCCGAGGACCTGGCAATTCCTGATCTACACGGGAGACTCCCTACGGTACGTGGTCACGGCACAAAATGGCGGCTCATGTCATCAGCTTCTGAAGCCTCGTGGTAGCCTAGTCATAACAAACCAGATCCGCTACTCAGCCTAGAGCTTCTGAACAAAACACACACACACCAAACCGAACCATCTACATCCATATGCATCCATCATTGAGATAGTCCTGGTAGATTGTAAGAATTTATAATAATAGAAATTAAAGATTCTTAAACGATCCCAACTTTCTCTCTTTCTTGTCTCTCAGTCAATACAAAGTGTTGAAGTAAACTCCCTGATGATAAAAACGACCACTTCTGATTGATTATGTAGATTGTATAAATATACAAGATCAGGTAATTAAATTATTTAATTACAGTATATAAATATACAAACTTCTAATCACAACATTACATTACATTATACAAAACAATACAAAAGTATTAATTCAGTTTTATTTCAAGAATAGCTGGACAGAAACACAATATGTTTGGGAATATCAGGTAATACAATGGTAGGAGGAAGAAAAAAACATAAAAACAAGAAAGGTTTAAGAAACACGGAACATAGAAATGTGATTAAACCATATTCACATCTTTTATTTTTCACTTACTAAACAGAACAGACAACCACAAATGCAACAGTTCTGTATAAAACCTAGTCTCACACATGTCCAGTCACTGTCTTCAACAAAAGGCTCAGCATGTTGACAAATCCTGTGTGTGTGTGTGTGTGTGTGTGTGTGTGTGTGTGTGTGTGTGTGTGTGTGTGTGTGTGTGTGTGTGTGTGTGTGTGTGTGTGTGTTATAGTAAAAACTGAAGGCTCAGCAAAAAGCCGTAACAAAATAGCTGCATTTGAACAATGAAAGGTCTCAGTTTTGAATTAACCTCAACAAGCAGTCCAGCAGGAAATAAGAGGAATGCAATCACCCCAACCCCCATGGCTGTACACAGCCTGAGAACGGCTTTGTGTCACATTAACAAACATCAGGAAATTATTTGTGAGGTTTTATTTCTGACTTTTATTTTTTTAATACAATTCAGTTTTTTTTATGTGCTCTTTAAGAAAAAAGTCATCCAGCTGAGAATCGGTAGATCGTACCCAATCTTCACGTTAAATCATGTTAAATCGCAGCACGAAGGTCGCAGGTTCGAAACTCGGCTGCGGCCTTTCTGCGTGGAGTTGCGAGTTCACCCCATGCATGCGTGGGTTTCCTCCGGGTACTCCGGTTTCCCCCACAGGTCACAACACACCCTATAGGTTATACATTGTAAGTCGCTTTGGATAAAGGCGTCTGCTAAATAAATAAAAACATAAAAACAAATCAATCTCTCATTCTTAGAATGCTAGGTGTGTGTGTGTGTGTGTGTGCGCGTATGTGTGTGTGTGTGTGTGTGTGTTTGTGTGTGTGTGTGTGTGTGTGTGTGTGTGTGTGTGTGTGTGTGTGTGTGTGTGTGTGTGTGTGTGTGTGTGTGTGTGTGTGTGTGTGTGTGTGTGTGTGTGTGTGTGTTTGTGTTTGTGTTTGTGTGTGTGTGTGTGTGTGTGTGTGTGTGTGTGTGTGTGTGTGTGTGTGTGTGTGTGTGTGTTGGGAAAAGGAAAAGTGCTGGGTCAGGACAAAGCAACTCTATAGTGCCAGCTGGGGGCATTTCTGCCCCACAGAGAACACACACTAACACACACCTGCCAGCATAGAGAGGTCTTCAGATCAAGGTGATGGTATGAGAAGGACAACATCAATCAATACAACAGAGTTCAGACACATCCCATGCCCCGCTGCAGTTTTATGTTGTAAAAAACTTAAATGGTTGGCATTTGTCCCAGAGGAGTGGACTCGAGTCACATGACTTGGACTCCAGTCAGACTCGAGCCATTATTTTAATGACTTCTGACTTGACTTGATAAAATCTATAAAGACTTGCGACTTGACTTGGACTTGAACACCAATGACTTGCGACTTGAATCGACTTGCATCTGTTGACTTGATGATGACTTGAGCATATTTGATATTTTAGCACAAAAGGGGCATGACATGGACATGGACTGAATAGATTAAAATACTTTTTTTCTGCAGTTGGGTTGGGCTGCTTTGAGCCGGCTTATGGGACCACAACTTAAAGCAGAGCCTGAGTTCATGCATTTAAAACCTTAAAAATCTCCAAAGACTCACCAGCTCAATCAGCAAGCCAACAGTCTGATTTACGTATTTTTTTTAAATCAACAGGCTGTTCAATTCAACTAAGTCTATTTATATAGCGCGTAGCGTTGATTGACTACATATTTATTTTAAAAGACCGATAAGAGTTGATGATTCCAAATAAATATGAAATATCTATCTGATTGACCTTTGAATATTTAATCAGAAGATTATAGTTACTTTACTTATTCAGGGACCATAAACACACCGTATTAATTCAGACAGAGTCAAAGCATATAGTTTATAAAAATGATTTTTTTTCTTTTCCCTAAACAAATAATTAT